GCGGCGGCGGCAACATCTGGATGCTCACCTACACCGTGCCCTTCTTCGGCTTCCGCAACGGCTCCTACTTCTTCAAGTGAGTACTACCACTGCGTTCCTTCTTTTTTAAATCGGAAACGATCGAATTAACTAGTGGTGCTACAACGGCACATTCTTTCTCACTTCTTCATTCTTCAGTCGTCATCTGTCTTTAATTGAAACATTGCAGCACATTCTTTCTCACATTAATGTAACTAACGTAATTTTCTGTGACCTCGGTGACTCGTTGGTTAGCGTGCTTGCTCGGAAAGGATCAAATTAACTATGGGTGCTACAACGGCACATTCTTCCTCATTTCTTGTTCATTCTTCAGTCTTCTTCGTACGTTAATGGAAATATTGCGGCACATTCAATCTCATATGTAACTATTGTAATTTTTTATGCCCTCGGTGATTCGTTGGTTAGCGTGCTTGCTTTCCACGGCGCAATACCGGGTTCGATTCCCGGTAGGGGGGAAAATTAACTGTGCGTCTTCCTTGCAAAGTACCAGGCTCTGTAGCTCTGTGACGACGAGAAAGCTCACTTCTCAAGTTGATAAATACAGCGTAGGGATGGCTATGTGCTAATCACACGTACTCCTTAACCCATGGCCGCAAGGCTGGAATGCAGCTGGTAGGCCTTAGCTCGTTAAGAACTGTTGTGCCAAAGCACAAACATACATACATTGCAATTTTTTAAATTGAAAGAGATCAATGAAATTGAGACCTATCCTATTTTATGCGTTCATTGCATTCCAGTCCCCTGATGATTTAAAGAATCTGATCCAGGGGGGAAAATTCGAAAGATTTTTCTAAAAGGTTTTGTGTGTATTTTGGGGAGCTGAATTCGAGTTTTATGTCTTCCACCTCGAAAAGGAGGGCTTCATAGAGAAAATTGCAAAATAATTAAAATGTTTGCCCTTTTTACAATAAACTGTTTATACCTAAGTAAGTGCTTGTTAGAGAAACAACTACTATTTAGAAAATTCAACATGACACAATTTCTCACAAAAGTCGTATTTTTATTTTTATTTTTATTTTCATTCTGTGAAAAACTGCTTAGGCGCTACATCGCGCTTACAAATAGTGACCTTTTTGTCCTCTGGGCAAAACGGGAGAATAGAAATTTCCAGCCTTCCTAACTCCAACGGCGCTCTCGTTTTGCTGTACCATCCTCGAAAACAACTACTGTGAATGAAATATTGGCATTGTTAAGTGATTAATTCTCCGATAACTCTCCGTTATGGAATCAGTAAGGATGATTTTACTCGTGAAAAGAATCTGTAAAATCCACATAATTAAAATATGACGGAAACAAGAAAACTGGAGGGACAATAACCACGATACGTGCAATATCATTACGTAGTACGATCTTTTTAGGTTCGGTTGCGCTTTTTTCTGTAAATCCTTGTTGAGAAGAGGTTCTGAAACTCAAGAAAATGTGCGCACTTGATTCCCCATACGTCACACACAACTGTTTTTTACCGTTTTACTGTTTATTACTAAATAAATCAAATAAAGCCGACCTATTGGGAGGTGACAAACATAAAATTCGAATTCAGCATCCCTTAAAACATATAGTACCGTTAAGAAAAGGATTCCGGGATTTTTCCTAGGTTAGATACCTAGTGATTAAACTATGCTCTATCCCAAGAAAATTTCAAACACAAAATTGGAGTTTTAAAAACAATAAAAGTTTTATTTTTGACGAAAAAATGTAAATAGTTTGTTATGTTAATGCGCAACTTCTCATACGTCATGTTTAGCATAGCATAACCGATCAAATATCACAACTCATTATTATATTTGAAAATATATTCTATACTCAGTACGTCACTGCTTATGATACACCAAACCTCATATGACTAGAAAGAGAAATTCCAGTTTTCTGGGGTGTCTTTTTAGCACAGCCAATTCCAATCACTGCGTCATGACTCCATTTACCACCCATCCGTCAGCAGCATTTTTGCTTCTACAGGCCGCTTGTTTACTTTCATTGGCATAAATCTATGTTGGAATTAACCATAATTTAAACATAAACGCGTTTTGTAATATAGGTGTTGTGGTGCGTTATCGTTGGTATTTTTCATGAAATAATTATAGACGTTGTCATTGCCAACAATAGTATTTAATATAACAGCAGCTTTCGATGGCTTGGCCATCATCATCAGTTGTCTGCTGGATGGAAGCCACAAAACGATTACCTCGGTCTTCGTTTCGGTCTTCGGAGGTAGTCGTTTTGTGGCTTCCACCTAGCAGACAACTGATGATGGCTAAGCCATCGAAAGCTGCTGTTATATTAAATACTATTGTTGTCAATGACGTCTATAATTATTTCACGTTTTGCAAATCAATGATTTCCTGCTTTCATTCCTCCCACGACCCGCATGCATTTCGTGCACTGTCCGTCGGTTCCGAAGCCCTGACCTACGCTGTATCGATTCCAAATTATGTAAGTCTGCCGGGCGTCGCCGCACGTGGCCAATACACAGGGTAGGTCACATTCGCTGAAAGCGCTTTGGTAGTCTGGCATCAGCTGGCGCGTAAGTACTTCAGACTGACTGTGCGTATTGATTCCCATGAGATTCATGAAATCTTACTTACGGCAAACAATTTTGTCTTTGTGATCTTATAAATCAATTCATTCTGGTTGGGTTTTTTTATATCGAAATGTGATGTCCATCGCTGATTTTACGTGTTCTGCCACCAGATTCTTCGTACTGTTCTTAATCTCCGTTATCAAAAAGACAATTAGGATCAAATTATTTTTCGTAATTAGTCAATGGCACGGCATTTTTAATTGCTCATACTTGTAGATATTCATATTTGAAGGAGTGCCAGAAGTTGCTCTTAAGATTCATCTTCCTTTGATCATCTCCATGGCAGTAAATTCAGTATACGAGTACTGTGAAGGAATAACACTAAATTCATGATTAGAAGCAGACAGGAAGGAGACAAGAGAACGGACTGACTGACAAACCACAGTTAAAGCTATAAAAGCTAGAAATATAAAATTTGAAATGTAGGTTCCTATCACATACGTGTAAAAATTAATAAAGGAAGAAAATGTATCGCCTGAAAGTGTGAACTATTTGTGTATTGATGTTGGAGGGTTACGAGATAAGATATGGCAATTATTATTTTTTCTGAGAATGTGAGCACGGATGGAAAATGTGTAATTCCTCTCTGCTCTAATACAGACACATCATTACAGCATTTCTTTCACACGACAAATAAAATTGTGTGATCCGATAACATTTCTTCAAGAAAAAGTAGTTGCCCGATTTCTGCCCCAACCCTCGTATAATGTCTTGGAGTATGCAACAATGCATCAAATATATATTTACAACTACCCTCTATGGGCCATACAATGGCGGTGACTGAAACGTTAAACGTGCCAATCATTAGGCAGTGCTTCTAATTATTCATATTTGAAGGAGTGCCAGAAGTTGCTTTTAAGATTTATCTTCCTTTGATCATCTCCATGGCAGTAAATTCAGTATACCAGTACTCTGAAGGAATACAGCATATGGTTGGGGCGGGGCCGAGTGGGGCAGGTCCACGGCGGGGCGGGTTCTAGATGTGGAGCTCAGCGACGGAGGGCATGGAAAGATGGGGATGCAGTATTCGTGATGCAGTAAGTAAGAGATGTATATACGGGGATACAGTATTTCGTAGATTTACAGATGTCCAGGCTTACCTACACGAAAGAGAAACCGTACACGCCTTCTGATTAAGAACAACACATAGCATAGCAATACATGCAAATAGGAGGCAGGAATGTTTGAATGGCTAATCATTGACTTATTTTTGTATTGTGATGCATTTAATTATATTTATCTCTTATTTGTTGTATATATCAATAATTTCAAGCCTCCTATTTTGAACATAAGAAGTTAAAGCATTTATTGCACTCTTACGTGAACGCTATTACTAAAACAAAATCCTTTCGATTCAAAATGTTTAATTTTACTTTGAATTCACAATTTAAAATGTGACTAATGTATCTTATTTTAATGGATGATTTCTCTGCGTTAGTAGAGGAAAAGAAATCTAATCTCTAAATTTCTGGAAATAATTATCAACTCACTCCTCCAAAACACTGACATGGGCCAGGTATTCAGTGATTTGCAATACCGCGGAGATATTTGTACACACTTACTTTTAAATCTCACGTCAGTTGCTTTGAATGAAGGGCCCAGAAGAAAGTTAGCTATTACCCGCACGTTTATTGAACGATGGAGTGAAAAATTACCGGTAGAATGGGGGTATTAGTTACAAAATTGGCCATTAGATTTTATGAAGCAATGCCAATCTCCGGATAATCAGTCCTGCCTTTGCAACATTCTCAATAATTTGCGTTCTAACTTTCTCAGGAGTTAAAGGTATCTCCTATAATGGATCTTCACCTGCTTCGGTCATTTCTTTTGATGGTTTGGAGAAAATCACGGACAAAAGTTCTCGTCTTCAATAGAAAATAGTCTCTATTTGGACCCAGTGAAGATGTGTTTGGATTGTTGTCATCAGTTCTCTTTGCAAACTTTTGCCTTCAGCTGTTTATTGTGCCAGAGAGAGGGAAGAAAGGTTATCGGGCAATTGCCACGCCACAGCCTCAATCGGATGAAGCACCAAAAACTTAGTATTTACTTGGCTGTCCGGGGGACGCCTTGTCCTGGGAACAACGGCCAACATTTAGGCCGCTCATTCAGGGACCTTCCTCTAGGCGAAATGCACAGACGCGGCGTCTCCCCGACAGCCCAATTACTGACTGCGGCCTCGGAAACCTACGGTCTCATTCACCATTGATAACTTTGTGACGCATGAAATCGAATTCTTAGGCAGACTTAGGCAGACTTCTTAGGCAGACTCTGAACAGCGGTATTAGTGGTTTCCCCTATCACTTCCACACAAGACGTGCACACAGGGAACCAGGGCACTGTAACCTTCTCCAACGTTTTGAAAGAGACTCCAAGCTCTACCTATTAAAACTTTTTCGTAAATACAATCCATTTCTAATTGATTTGTGATACCGGTCGCATCATCTACTAAGTTTATTAGTCCTGTAAGTGTAGTGCAGTTCTATTTTCCCTCGTTGAATGATGAGATCCGGCGCCGACTTGCCCGTCAGCTAGCGGAGTTTTCCCCAACCAGGTCTCTACTCCAATGGGGCATCGTCCCGGCTGGGACAAGTTCTGAGCTCCATACCGAACTCCAGACATGTGTGGTAGTGTAATGCATGTAAGTGTAAGTGTACGTAGAGCAAGGAAGGGGAAGAAAAGATCGCATGCGGTCCGTGAGCTGTTTGTTAGGGAAGTGATCCGGTACTTGTGTGGTGTTGATCGGAGAAACCACGGAAAACTACTGATCAGAGATGCCGTCTCCTAGAAATATCCACCAGATCGCGACTGAATTCGACATACCTATTTAACTACTGTCGAAAATCCTTTAACGGGGAATCGAACCTAGGACCTCACGGTCAGAGGCGCTCCAGTGACATCTGTTAATGCCTAGAGCCTCCTCTTCGATTTTTTCGCAAAAATGATCAAAATCTGTTTTCTCCCCTTTTTAAGACGATAATTGGAGAAATTAATATATTGTATTAAGGAAGGAGCATTTCAAAACAACTGCAACCTGTAAATGGTTCAACGAAAGATCAATTTCAATTACGTTTAACTGTATGTAATTGGCATTTTGGGTCGATAGGCCGACTTCGCCAGCCATCTATCTGTATTCCTGGACCTAGTGAAATTCCAATGGTTGCGGCATATGGTGAACATGACGTATATTCTTCACCGCAACTGGCAAACTCCACCTGCCTGAGATTTTCTTTGCAACACAGCTTCAGAATTTCAGACGATTTTAAAGAGAGGCTACAACACTGTTTTGCCTCGACCGGGAATCGAACACGGTACCACACCAAAGGAAGCTAGCATGCTGCCACTGCGCCATCGTAGAGGATGAATGTTTATATATTTTCCTAATAAATTATATGAAATGTAAATAAACAGATAAAGGGAGCATAGAAATGCAGTTGGCTCTCTTGCTTTAAGCTGCGCCCGCCCACCAATGCCGCACGAATGCCGAAGCAGTGCCCGAGAATACACGCCATTAATCGCGTGTAATCGTTTCTTCTTTCTCTCCTGAGATGATTTTTACTTTTTCATTGATGAATTTACTTAGTGGAGGAAATAAAAATATCAATTTAATATTTATTGGGACTGACGGTTCTATGACGTACTCCATATATTTTAAAAAGGTAACTTACTAAAATATTACATCAAAACGCTATCAATTTCAAAATAAACATAACATTTGTGATTAAAAGTAACAAAAAACTTGGCACAATATTGTTTGCAAACTGAAAAGAACAACTCAACATTTAAATAAATCAACAAATTATAAGAGTAATACCTAGAAGTACCTTATTTACCTTTAAAATAACCAAATGTCCTATTTTAAAAGTCCGTGCAATTCTGTATGCACACTTCATCATCGGCTATCCCAAATACTTTTCGTTACGTTTCCGTAATATTGTTCTCAATCAAATATATCGCCAATATCTCATTGCATTTCTTACAACCAAATTCTCCACAGAGTTAAGCCACTCCTACTAAAATGCTAAATCATTTACGTCCTCATTCCACAACGTCCACTTTCTCTCTGTTGATTCCGTTCACCTTCTTAAGCCGACCGTCTTCATGGCATCCAGTGCCAACCTGTGCTTACATCCCAGTATACCATGCATGTACCTATCATCTTGATGCCAACCATTGACGAATTATCACCTCAATTTCGACTTGTTCCGAATAATAATAATAACAACAACAATAATAGTAACAATAATAATAATAATAATAATAATAATAATAATAATAATAATAATAATAATAATACGTTAAGAAACAGTGGAATATGGATAGAGTCAACATCGATCCGATAATTGTTTCAAGCACCGGAGTCATCCTTAAGTGTCTGATGCAGAATCTCAAGCAGCTAGATTTGAATGAAGACATGTACAAACTTATGCAGAAAGCAGTAATTAGCTCAACAACAAGGATGTACTATGAATTATCTTAAAAACAATGTAGTGTGCTTTGATTTTGTAAATCTGTACAATAATCCATTTAAATGTACCAATGAAATGAGAAAATTAAATTAAAAAATAATAATAAAAATATTAATAATAATAAAATAATAATAATAATAATAATAATAATAATAATAATAATAATCATCATCATCATCGTCATCATCATCATCATCATTGCTTTTACAAAAGCAAACCAAAAAAACGCATTTCGTCATTCACAATTCGAGAGATCGATTCAACCAGCACTCAGGAAGGAGACTTATTTCCAAGACGCCGGAACTCCCCTTTCTCCTCCTTCCTTCCGTCGCCACTCCCTTGCGCGGTAGAGGGGCCGTGATAAGCCAGAGACGCGCGACCTCAAAAGCCCCTGCTCGCTCGCCTCCAAGATGGCGTCCTCGGGGAAATATAACCCGGATCAAGTTTGTTTAGCACTCCAAAATTCCACTTCTGCGACCCTTTCCCCCTTTGTTCTTTGTTTTGAGATGCGAGGCGAAGCGACTATCCCGCAAAGCGAACCACGGCGACTATCAAATAAAAAAAAGAACGTAAAGAGGAGCACAGAAATAAAAAGGGTTTTATCGCTTTTTTCACGGAATATGACTCGAGCGTATCTGCTGACAAAAGCAACAAATATATTCGTTCTGTGTATTTGAAAAGAAATGCTCAGTTGCGGTAAAAAAAATGTGTGTCTTCTATTGCGATATGTATTGTAAACTAAGGGCATTGAATATTTTCTATTTTTCCCTTTAGAAACAGTAAAGTGACTAAAAATTAATCGACCATGAAAATCTACTATTTTAATGAGTACAACATTTAAAAAGTTAAAAATATTTTTTCTTTCCCTCGTAACTCAAAGTATTCCTAATTTTTCGATAATTGCTGATCTTAAGAGAAAGAGTGTACGCCATATGACAAGAGATAGAAGATTATAATATGCAATAAACGTTTCTAAAATAGACATTATCCCCTGATTATTTTGTCTGCAATATAAATGTAAATATTGCTGAATCCTAACATTATCAAGCGGGAGCCACAGAGTTACAAAGATGATTGTTTTTTCTAAGTTTCATTTTTTTAGCAAAACAAGAACTTCCTGATATTGTTGGTCGTACTCTTTGATCCAATTATGATGAAATTTATCACAAATGTATGTTATAGTTTGAGTTATTAGAGAATCATTGGCTGTGAATAAAGCGATACCGTCCTATTCACTCGAAAGCATCAGAATACATTTTCGAAATATTTGTAAAATTGTATGGCTCAGTGTAATACAGTGATGAGTTATTTAAGTTTCCTATGAAAATACATTGCTTCAGTTGTACATAAAATGTACTAGGTATCGTCATTATATAAAACTATTGATGCGCGAAAATATATTTTCTTTTCATTTGTAGAGCCATAAATTGAAAAAATCTTTTGTTTCAATGAATATACTTGTACATTATGAGTGGTATCAATTAGTTGTATTATTAGTAGCATCAATTTTTATAAATTTATCAAAATCGCCAAAAACCTTCATAAAAACCAACATTTAAGCGGTCGTTTCTTGAG